TTTTTATGTTTGTGCTCTGCTTCACTTACAAAAGAACAGATTTATTTTAATTATGCCTTTCTCTGTGCCTTTGTGTTCTGAATATTTAAGTCCTCTGAGAAGGCAGAAAGTCTGTAGAGAGGATTCAGATAACTTGTCCACTGTGCATAGAAGACTGAAGATTTCTGTCTTCTTCAAGACTTTTTCTTTGATCAAGGAAGGAGAGACCCTGCAAATTTCACAAAGCTTTTCTTTCCTCTTGTTTAGTGGCATGTGAGGTGACATTCCCAGTGACTTGCTTTGTAGCAAAAATGAAATGCAAAACTGTTTCCTCAAAAACTTAAGATTAATTTTTAAGAATACCACTTTCTAGTTTCTGTTACTCCTGTGATTATACCAAGAATTCTTACACCTTTCAGAATATTTTCTTAGTGTTTCAGAAGGTAACATCCCTACATTGCTTAAACAGCCTTTATGACTTCCCCGCAGTATTTTCTGGGTTGTGTTGTTGTTTCTGATAGAGAACAAATTGCTGATACGTTTGGGTTTTGTTTGCTGTTCTAGAGTTTTCTAGCCCTTGTAATTGACCTGGAGAAACTAAATTTGGTGGCTCCTAATCAGCTGGATTTGATAGAAAACTGTTTTCGAAGTATTCACAGGATAGATTTGATTAGGAAGATTCAGAACTACAAACACAAAGGTAAGATTCTATTTTTGCAGTGGTTACTCTTGATAGCAAGAATGAGATGTGCTTTTACTGAAAATGAAACTCTGAGTTATGAATTAGAGTATTTACATGCTTCACAGATTTAGGTGTTTAAAACAGTTGATATATCTTGGTGTATTTGTGTGTTTCTGTTAAATTTGCAGCTTTAATGCCCTCCGTTCATTCTCAGCCAGTGTATGTAAATGCACGTCAGGCATCTCTCACTAATCTCAATCTGATTGATCCTCCTTATAATTCAGGGGTAAGTATACAAGAAATCAGACAAATCCTTCATCTCTAAATATTGCCAGATGTTAAAATGAGATTCATCTTTCAGAGCCTGAGGCATGAAAGATTGCTAGTGACTAAAATACTACTTGGTTTATTTCTGTTATTCCTGCTATTTGCTGGGCTTAGGGTCTAATTTAAATCTTCTGACTGAGAAAAGTCCTCTTTAAAGAACTCCTGTGAGTTTTTTCCTATTATTTGAACACATAAAGTCTGTATCTTGAAAGATTTTTTTTCTACTACACTATGGAGTGAAAAGTTTTTTGCTTTGACTGGATTTTACAGAACATACCATTCTTCTTTGTATCTCTGGACCTTGCAGGGAAAGTAGCTTTTAATTTTTGAATCTGGAGACTAAAGCTTTTTAGAAGAGTTTTTCAGATTTTTTTTTTGTGGTTTGTTTTAATCTCATTTTAAGAAAATATGTCAGTATGTGAAAAGTCATCAAATCCTGTTGCGTGCAGTATTCTTTATATTTGGGTCAGATCTGATATTGTATAAGTATGACCTAAAAGTCTTTAGTCTTGCTAAATTGGATGAGATTATTTCTGTCACGTGTTCAGTAAATGTTCCCTGCTCCTCTACGGGAAAGAAAATTCACATCTGTGGAGACTTTTTTTGTTTGTTTTACCAGTTCAGGGAATAAACTTTTCTTTGCTGATCATGACAAGCTGGTGATTTTTTTCTGAGGGGAATAATTTTGGAGTTTTTTGTTTGTTTGTGCTTTCAGTAGGTTTTTCTCATTAGTTATTTTGTAATCCTAATAAGCTGATATGTGTGAATCTAAAACATGTAATCCTTTTATTGAAGAAGAAATACTATTGTGTTTTATTTTGGAACACATGATTATTAATTCTTGAAGGAGAAAGGGAAAATTATGCCCTTTTTCTTCATTTTAGGTTCAGAATGGGAGCAAAGAAAAATTACAAAATGGACTAAATCATACTCTGGGTAAGAGTATTTTTATCTGAGATTTGATAATCTAAAAGAGTCAAATGATTAATTTCTTTGTATCAAAAGGACTGTTATTTGATAGTTGTGTTTGTGACTAATCCAGTTGATTAATACCAGGATCAGAGGGTATTTGGTACCTCTGAAAACTGAGCCTGGCCTCATAATTTGGTCTTGTAGTTACTTTGCTTGTGCTGCTATGTTTTAAAACTTTATTACAAATTCTTCTGGGCTTCCACTGTCACAACTTTGTAACAGAATAAATACTTTTTTAATAAAACCATGGATAAGATTGACTACCCTGAATACCAGGTTCTTTCCATGTGTATTGTGTTTTCTCTGGAAACCCCAAATACTGCTCAAGTATGGCGATTTTTAAGGGTAGTTGGCTGAATTCTCTCTGTGTAGGAGAGATTCTTTTTTTATTCTAGTCACCAGCAGTGGAAAATACAATCCAAATGACAATTTAGAGGAGAAGAGTTTAAGGATTTTTAAACTTCGGTGGCTTACATAGAATCTAAGAGGTCCAGATGAGTGAGATACATTCCTCTTTATAACTGATCTGGTGTCAAAGAAATCTCACTGGTACCTCTGTACTGAGATTAATTCTGTGTGTTTGAACTGCAGCAGAACCAGTTCCCATGTCCGTTCAGGAATCGGGATCGGTGTCACATAAGGTACGTGCTTGTGCATGTGTATGCGTGTAAATATAATAACCTCTGTGAGAATTTACCTTGGTGTTCTGTGTGTTTCATTTTGAGATGTCCCTTCATTGTGTGCAGAGTAGTGTGTACAGCCTCAGCTGTAAACAGGTTCTGTGAATTGCTTTTGCAGAATGTGTTTTTAATATAAAAAATGTGCTGCTACTCTGGAAGTAGCAGTTGCAAAATCCAAGTATATGTGGTGTGTACACAGAACTTGTATGTTTATTAGTGGAGGCCAAGTTAAAACCTGTTGGAGGTCAGACTTCTCTTGCCATCTTCATTAGAAGTCACGGGGCTTCTTTGCAAGCAGCAAATTTTGGTTTTGCTTCCCTCTTCACCCCTTGCTGCTCCAGGCAGGAGACAGAAATGCTTTGAGTATTGATGTTAAGAATGGACTACTGCTCTTTTCGCTAGTTCCCCTGTAGGACAGGAACCACAGAGTTATCTGAAGCAAATGGATTTTAATCTCTTTAGAGGGGAGAGGGATTGTGATAGAGCCATTACAGATTATTTAGGAACAAGGCAGTTGTTCCACTAAGTAAGGAAATAAATGTTCTGATGAGCAGTGCTTGCTTGCACACCTGAAGAATACAAAAGTTCTCGCTTTATTGTGTTGGCAATATGAAGCTTAAAGCTCCCAACATCTCAATGGCAGAGGAAGTATTATAATACTTATATAAGTATTTATTTTATACTTCAAGAAATACTTAGTTAGGAAGTACTATAGAAGGACCATTGCTGTCACAGTGCAGGGCTTTGAAAGCCTCTCCATACAGTAAAAAACTCCATAACCTGATAGATTTGAAGATCTTTTTAGAGGTAAGGTTCATTTCAGACTTGCTTCTATCATTTTTGATATAGTCTTAGCCTCTGAAGATTTTTACGGTGGCAGGATTGCATAACACAAGGAGACAAAAATTAAGCCTGCACTAGAAATAGGTGGAAAGAATCATTAGTCCATTTCTCCTGATATTTTTTGTTGTATAAATAAGACATACTACATCCCAGTAGATACATTTCTGCTAGCTACTCTGTGGAAAACAACTAAATGTAATTTAATAGATCTGAGGTGGTAAAATTTGAGAAAACAGTAAGGTCTGTAAGTTGAGAGAGTGCCATGCTAACTTTGTAATTGTCCTTTCATGTTCCTCAGGGGACTGATGAACCTTACAGAATGCTAAGTCAGCCTTTAGGAATATGCCTGATCATAGACTGTATTGGCAATGATGCAGGTAAGTCTCTGGAATTTAAAGTTCCTTAACTTGTTAATCTCAGATAATTAGAACAATTTAATATAAAGAATATGTTGTACCTTAACCAGCCAGACTAATGTCCTAGTCAGCTAGTCTTACCAGTTCTTGTAAGTCTTCTAAAGCAGGGAGTTGGAAGGCCCAGCCTGAGGTTAAAGCCAACGGTCCCCCTAACTATTGCAAGCAGTGTTTTTTTTGTTCTTTTTGGTGCAGAATATCTGAATGAAAGAAGTTTTAAGAGGATAGACTGAATTTTGGGAGGAGAAAAAGGATGTTCAGAACCTACAGAATAATTAAGCTACAGTCATGCAGGGGGTTATTGGCAGAGATGGTGAAGATAATGTTTCCCACCAGTTGAGAAAACCAAACCCCAGGCTGTTGTGGATTTGAAGTGCAATCGTATCAGACACCATAGATTTTGAGCAGTCATGTGTTCCTTTATTAATCATACACCTCTGGGAGGCTTCTGTCATACCTTGCACAGTTGAACTGAAACTGTCACCATACCTGTCACTCTGGTCAATGCCATGGTTAAAATGTGGGTTTTATTCTGATGGCCATTGTAGCATCCAAGAATTAGATTTTTGCATAAGCAGAAAAAAACCCTCACTCTCCAACCATTGTAACACTTGAGGCTAAAAATAAAAGTGAAGAGAGTGTTTACAGTCAGTTCTGTAGTAGGCAGGAGGTGTAGGGGAAGGAGAGGTTGTGGGCATATCTTTTGTTTTTCTCATACATAATGGTCCAGCAGACGGACCAACTTAGAATTATTCATGTAGTTGTTGAAGAGCAGTGGATGTGGAAAGTAAAATTTTTGTGTTTGCTTGGCAATAATATGTTGGGTAAATTATAGAAACCAAGACATTTTGCCATTAGGATAACAGGAACAAGAACTGATTCACAATCCTGCCATGCGTGGATTAGAGGGAAAAGGAAAGCACTTAATTCAGTTATGTGCAACTGGGAAGCATCTTTGAGATTTTGGTCTATACTACCAAGTTCATCAGTGATCTCTGGAGAAGAAGAAAAAAAAACCCCAAACCAACCAAACAAAACCCCACCAAAAAACCCCAGAAGAACAAGGATGCAATTACTACATATGGAAATTATATTGTTCAGTGTATTGTACTAAGAGGAAAACAGACTGTCTTCCAAGAAGTGAAAGACTGGGCTGGTGGCTCTTGGGATCAAACATTGTGCTCTGTCCTGCTGCCTGCTTCTTTGCTTTCACCTTCTTCTCTTTCATTGAGAAAGCAGATGACCCTTTGGATGCAAGGAACTTACTATGCAGCCTTAATCTGGAAGGTAGCTCATAGTCTGCTCCAGTACCAAAATAATTGCTACTTGGAGCTCTGTTTCTTAAATGAAAATAGGAATGCTAGTGAAATTTCAGTGTGTAGAGCTAAAGAGAATATGAGGTGTGAAAATAACCTTGTTTAAAAGAAAATTAATCTTTAAATTTCATTGTCTTTAATGGCATATGAGCATGTGCAGACCTCATTTATTGAACTATGTTTTATTGACCTGTGTTTTGCTGTGCCAGGACTGAGTTTTTTAAATGAAACACAGATGCTGGAAGTCACCAGTGCTTTATCATTGTTTTGAAGGGATAGAAAGCAAGACTTCCACTGAAATCCATTACTATGCTAGTGAGATTCAGGAGAGGCAGGACATTTGGCATTGCTTAATTTTTTGATGTTTGAGGCATCAAAAAGAGTTTGTTAGAAAGGCATTCACCACTTAGAGAGTTGTTGTGCCACACTATTTTGAAGTCTGAATTCACTAAAGAAACATGAGAGGGCGGGAAGAACATCAGGAATTGTATCTGTGGCGTTCATTACAATCTGTAACCATCCCAAGATTTAATGTCAGGAAGGTGAAACAGTAGTAGATTCTGCAGGATCAAGGATGGCAACAGTTGAAAATGCCCAGTGTAAATAAGATGAACTTATTAAATGCTGATAGAATTCAAAGTGAAAGACAGCTTGCTGTTCTGTAAATAGCTGCCTTTGACTTTTCCATTTGCAAGCCAGTTTTTATCCTTACATTGTAAACAGTTGGGAGAAAAGACTATTTTTTTTATGAAGAATGAAGATTCTCAGAAGTCAGTGGAGGTTTGCTGCAAGATGGTTACTGTTGATAGTCTCTGATCTCAGGTTGCAGCATGTAATGCTGTGGTTTGTCTTGCCTTAAAGTGTCTAAGGCTTAGCATGTTTAATTTCTGGTTCATTGTTAAACTAAGGTGTCAGCCCTAAGTTTCTTGAGGGTTTTGTTTTCTTTTTTAAACTGTGACAGTTAAGTGTGTAAATGGACTAAGGTGACACCAGGTTTTGTGTCTCTGTCTACGTGCATGTGCCAGTGAGATCAGTAAATTAGAGGAAAATCATCCTGTTGCTTTGTGTATGTAGTGCTGCCCTCTACCTGATGAAATGCTTCATCGAGTCTGTAACAGCCAGAATGTGTTGATACTGAATCTTGTACCTGAATTTTGAGAGCATGTTTTATTGCATACAATAGAGGGGATTTACCTTTCATTTTCAAATTAAAGAAGTCTGGACAGTTTTTGTATTATTGTACAAAATTTAATTAAAAATTGGAATGAAACTGTAGTTCTAGTTTATGACCTCACTATAATAAAGGGTTTGATCTACCCTGTATCTTGCTGAGGAAAGTTATGAGTTCTGTTTCCTGTTTTCACCATGTGCTTTTTGAGGAGAGCAGTGTGTAGTACAGCTGCTTGGCTGAAATAGCCTCTGCTAGCCAGGAATTGTTAAACTTTGGAAGTCAAAGAACAGTCAAGCTTCCTGTGTGTGTGTGTAAGGCATTTTACGTAAACATGGCACCCGATACTTTCATATCAGAAGCTGTGCATGGGCAATGTATATATTTGGTTTATAGTAAAGGTAGAATGGTACAGGTATTGTAGTAATAGCTTTTGGTTCTCTGAGCAATTAATGCCTGTGGTTTTAACCACCATGTTTCTGGTTTCACTCCCATATTAATAATCATCCAAAGTAGTAATTTAGAACTTAGCACATTCTCCTGCAGCGCAGGGTAACACAAATACAATATAGTTAAATCTCAGGGTTTGGATATCTGCAGTTTTAATTTCTAAGTCATTTGAAAGGGTTCTTTGTTCAGCTTTCTTTTTTCCCTGAAAATGCCATTCTGTCACGGTTAAGACTGCAATGTACATTCTTCACCTGGAACTAGTCACTTAAACTCAATTTTATATACTACAAAGCATAAATTACTGCAGAAGGTTCATTTTTGACTGATGTAAGGGAGCCTCTGTGTTTTTATGCAATTCTGTATATCTATAATAACCATTCAGAGTAATTTTGACCAGTTAAAAGGGGAAACAGACTTCCCATGCTATTCAGATAATTTCTTACCATTTAAACTATGTGAAACATTTTCTAGTGTTTTATCTTGCCTGATATTAGAAGTCCTAGAAACGTGGGATACTGACTCTAAATGAAGTATTTAAGGTGGAATTTGGAACAGAACATGTGCCAAATAATACTGTCTTTGTCATCATGAAGTAGATAACTTACATGAAAGACAACGTGCATATAGCACTTTAAGTATGTAATGTACTGTGATCAACACTGATTTTTTAATTATTGTGATAAACTACTTAGTTCCAATAGCAAAACACTGTAAATACTGTAATTCAGGATAGTTGAAATCGAGCCTTGATGTGCTGTGATTTAATTACACCTTGCTTCTTTCAGATATGTTGGAAGAGACCTTCAGAGGCTTGGGCTATGACGTTCGTTGTCACAGATACTTAAATATTGCCACCATGAAGCAAACACTGCTTGAAGTTGCAAGGTTGCAGCAGCACAGAAATTATGACAGCTTCATTTGCATATTGGTCAGCCGTGGAAGTCATCAGGCCATCTTCTGCACAGACATTACCTGTTCTGGATTCCCTTTGGAACAAATAAAAAATTACTTCACACCAGACTCATGCCCTGGACTCCTAGGGAAACCAAAGCTTTTTTTTATTCAGAGCTACATTGTGCCAGAAAATGAGCAAGAATGTACCAGTCTCTTGGAAGTAGATGGGAATGATAGGAATATCATTACTAAAGTCATTATCCCCAGAGGAGCAGACATCTTTTGGAGTCATTGTAAGGTGGATGTGTCTACACTAGAAAAATCCTCAACTTCATCCTCATATTATCTGCGTTGCCTGGCTGAGCTACTCCGCGATCCTTACATAAGGTAAATTAAAAAAAGAGATAAAAACAACCCATTTCCCATGACAGCCTGTTGTCGTTGAGAAAGAGAAACCTGTGAGTTCCATCCCATCTGGTCCTGTAAAGTGTCTTCATGCAGTGTCATAGGCTAGAAGACGAGTATAGCTAATCCTCAGACAATCACATAGAAGGTAAGGTAGCCTAAGGAGGGAATGAATGTTCTGATTATGAAGGGTAAAATTAAAGTGTGTTATGGCACTGGGGGTTGTAGAATGAGAAGGGAGTCCTGGATAATGTATGTCAGCACTTCAGAGAGGATGGGAAGTCTTCCTTCTCCGAGATAACAAGGCAAATTCTAGGCTTCTGTAAATTGAGGATTGCCATGTACCACTAAGAAGAGCTCTGCTTGCAAATATAAAAAAGTCAGTGCCTAAGTCCAGGGAAAAGCAATAGAGAGGGAAGGATTTTCTGCTGTCTGTAGATTCAGTTAATCTTTCGCTCAGGGAGCCACTAGGTTGCCAGTATTCTTGAATTTGAACTGTCAGAAAACTTTTCTCTGTTTAAAGATATCAAAAAGGAATCTGAGCAAAAGTCACTGACATTTGGATATATAATTTAACAACAAAGATTTTCTCTATACAACTGATCTGTCAGAGAGCTAACAGCTATTTTTCAAGGTAGTTGCAGCATTAACATTTAGTACCTTTTTACAAATGTCAAAACCTTGTCTCGAAATCACAGATCATCATATCAGTATAATTAATATCACAGCAGTGATTTGGGTTATAACAGTTTATCTCAAAATGCATCTTCAGCCTTGCATTTTAGAGGTCTAGCCTCTGCAGTAAAGACTGAAGTTTGGAACTTTTTCTTCACTGAGTCTAAAGTTTTCTTCTCTCTTGTGGATTCTTAAGTGATGTCTTGCTTCATTCTCTAATGGAATGCTTTTGCTTTTGTTGCTGCAGGAAACTCCCTCTATCAGATATCCATACAGAGCTGAACGGAAGAGTTTATAAATGGAATGAGACCGCTGACTCGTGCCAACAATACTCACTTCTGCTCCAACACACACTGACAAAGGAACTTTTTCTTTTTCCCACTTAACTGCTCTTGGAAAGGACATGTTTGATGTTTTTAACAAGAAGTATTTAATATGATCCAAACAGTTTCCCATATACTTTTATTTTATGCATTTCATTTCATGTATATCTATATCTTCCGAACACAAGAATTTCTAAGCATTTTGGTGCATTAAGACACTAGATTTTATATTTTAGTGCAGAAGTCTCTGAAAGCTTGGATGAGAATGGTAGCTATTGTATAGCACTGCAACAGATCTTGCAACTAAATACAACAGGTAAACAGAGTGGGAAGAACCATAGTTGTAAAAGGACAATTAAAAATGTTTAAACCTAAGTGTAGCATGTAGCACAGCTCTTAAGCTGTGGGCTCTTAAGACTGGATTAAATTAAACACCTCACCCTCACTGGTTTTGCTTATGATGAAGAGTATGCCTTTATTAATAGAAGTTTTTTCCATAAATATAAAAACTTTTCTCCAGTGGCATAAATGCCTAACATGAAAAGTTCAGTTAATCTGCTTGTTGTATAACAGTATAACCTGGGTGGATTGTCCCTCCTAAAGTAGGCCACTTGCAAACCCTTGATATTCCTAATAGAATCTGCTGTCCAGGAAAAAATTCAAGGCCTTGACATGCCTTGCTTGGTTTCTGGTATAGTTTTTTAGTGGGTAAAGAGAAGGATTAAAACGACTGGTTTGGAACCTTAAAGTTACTTCCTATGAGGGCTGATAAATGAAGCAAATGGTGAAACAGATATTTTCTGTGGTTGTAGAAATAAGATGTCATTTCTAGTCATATATATCTAAGTGATGTTAACAAATGTGATCTCTTTCACAAATTAACTTCACTTTCCAATTTCCCTCACTAGCTTTTGCATGTGATGAGCACTTCTGCTACCTCATAGACAACCAAAAGCAGGGAGAATGGAACCAAGAGGAGGCAGACAAGGAAAAGAAATATGGAAAATGTAAGCAGGAACAAGAAGGGGAATGGTAGGGAGCATCAAGAGAAGAACAGGTAGGGAAAAGATGATTTGGAGAAGTACAGTATCAATATTTGTAGGAGAAGAAAACAGGAAAAAAGAAGTAAGAATTACAGTGGCTATCCTTACAGGCTCTAAGAATGTGGTGGACTGGTTGATGTTTTGTTGGTTGGTTGTTTTGGGGTTTTTTGAATGATGCTAAATACAGCTATTTATTTTAAATATTAGCACTAGAATATATTCTTCAGAATGTGTTCTTACAGTTTTGTGACAATGTAAGTTTGGTTTGAGGGTCAAGAAGTAGACATACTCTTTGCCTAAGTACCTAACACGGTAAACCCGTATTGCCTTTGGAAAGAAATGCTGTTTTGAAAACTAGAGGGTGCTGTAATTAACTCTTACAGTGGAGAAGGAAGGGAGTCTCTTTGTATCTGGCTGCTTGGATTGGAAGTGATTACAACCCTCTGAAGACTTGTGGCGACAGCTGTGTATTGCACAGCATTTTTGGATATCAGATACTGATTTTGTACACTGATGTTTTGTCCCTTAGTAGATTCTGTAACCTTAGCAGTAGTCAATCTAATCATTCATGTAAGAAATATTTAACGCCTTTACACCTCTTTCAGGAGTGGTATATGGGTAGACTGGTTCCCTGTACCTAGTGCATAGTGAAAGTAGAACTGAAGTCAGTATTTATGCAGGAGTTTTGTGATGCCAGTTGTACATCACTTCTCCCATGGCTTGTAGAATTGTACAATGTGCTGAATTGGAAGGGGACCTATCAGGATTATTGAGTCCAACTCCTGGCCCTGCACAGGAAAGCCCGAAGAATCACACCATGTGATTCCTGAACTGTCAGGCCGGTGCTGTGACCACTTCCTTGGGTAAGAGCCTGTTCCAGTGCTCAACCACTTTCTGGGTGAAAAACTTTTTCCTGATACCTAATCTAAACCCCCCCTGATTCAGCCTCATGGTGTTTCCTTGAGTCCTGTCACTGGTCAGCGCAGAGATCAGTGCCTGTCCCTCTTCTTCCCCTCACAAGAAACTTGTAACTGCAATGAGGTCTCCCCTCAGTCTCCTCCAGACTGAACAGACCAGTGAGCTCAGCTGCTCCTCATAACCCTCCACACCTGTTTGTTCTTGCTGTACTGTGCACCAAAATTTGAGTCTAGAAATGGATGCAGGGTGTAGGCTGCATCAAGTTGTACCTGTTTTGCAGACAGAGTAATTAAATGATTTCAGGTTAAATGCTTCTGTAGCCAAAAGAAAGGGATAAGAGAATGAATTCTGAAGCCATCATGAGTTCAGGGTGCTAGCACAGGAACATAAAAAATGACATGCTGGTGAAGTTTTATGGTCTTGGACTGCCAACATTTCTAGTTTTCAGAAACTGCTGTTTAACAAAGTAAAAGAAGTCACTCTGCTCCTGCATTGTCATTGCTTGGAATGTGGCTGTCATTTCAAGATTCGCTGCTCCATGGCACCTAATTTCAGTTTTGGTTGCTGGTAACTGGAATAGAAATTTCTTGTAGTTCTGTATGTGCTGTATATATGGAAGGGGGGAAAGAGAATTGGCAGAATATAAATGATGCCTTTTCATGGCTCAGAAGGTGTACTCATGAGGCAGGAGATTCTGTGGTGTGTTGTACCAGACTTAATGTGTGTGATTTTTCTCAGTCACCTACATTGGCGTGGCTGAGCCTTAAATGGAGTTTACTTTGCACTGTTACATACTTGTGTATTATGATGCTTTCCAGCTCATTATCCAGAAAAGAAGTTATGTTTCAAGAGGAGGTTACGGTGCTAGGACAAGCTAGCAGTTGTAGATGGAGCATGTCGTATGTCTGATCTCCCCGTTCAATTCTTCATAAGGAGTGACTTCTGTTACAGATACCTGAGTCAGAGGGTCTTTTTTGAGAGCTTTTTTGAATTCTTTTCTGCTATCTGGAGTTTTAAGTTTCTGACATGGGGGATGATATTGCTGAGAAGAGACTGCTATCTGTATGGATGTTCTAACTAGGGGCCATGTAAAATGAATCTACTGAATTATTTAACAGCTTTTCTTTGGCTGTTTTGAAGAATGTCTATTTTTCAGCTTCTGTGTTAGAATCAAGAAGACATTGTATGCCAATCCAAATGGCCAATTTCAAGCTGATTTTCTGAATAAAATTTTTGGATGCAGTCAGACTGACTGTCTCTATCTCTCTTAAGAACACAGAGTAATTCTGAAATTCTTGGTTGATTTATCTTGTAGACCTCTACAAGATGTTAAATTTGGCCTTGGAGTTGTCCAGCTCTGTAAAAATGAACTGACTGAACAAAGGACACCGAGCCTTAAAGTTCCAACAGGTAGCTCAGCTGTTGTTGGTGTGTTAAACAGCAGCTTTTAATGGCATGAGCAAGGAGACACTTTCCATCCTGTCTCCACTGACTGGAGAGTGTGGGGGATACACTCTGCTGAAGGCCCCAGGGAGCTGCATTGAGCAGAGGCTGCTCACCTTCCTCCTCCTCTCCTTCCTGCAGTGAGGGTGGACACACAGACCCGCACACAAATGGCAGTGCAGCCCTCTCCCACAAGCACTGCTCCTCAAGCTTCCTTTCATCGAAAAAAGAAAACCTGGCTGAGATGTTTGAGCCATTTTGGTGATGTAGCCTGCTTTAAAATGGCGTGGCAGCAAAGGCGAGAAGAGTTCACTGGTCTTGTATTTCCTGCCGGAGGCGGAGGCGTTGTCTGTAGCTTTGTTCCAAGTCCCTTGTGGAGTTCCCTGGTGACTCATGGGTCCTGAGCCCGAGGGAGAGGGGTTCAGGTAAGAGTCACCAAAAGGGGGGGCTGAAAAGGAGAGAGCATGAAGGCAGGTTCCAGCTCCCAAGCCCAAAACCCAAATCCTGCTCACTATTTGTGCAGCTGCCTCCGGGCTGCGGGCTGAGACTCGGCGTTCCCCGGGGGCTCTGTGGCTTTGCGTTAATCTTAAATCTTTGGGGCAGTGCCCCAATCAGTAAAGCTTTAAAGGGAAAAAAGAATAGTAATCTTGCTTATTTTATGTGACTTTCCTTCTCTGAGGGTGTATCTCAAAGCACACATTAGAGAGGCTGGTTGGTTACCTCCCTGTGTGATGCCCTGCTGGGTCCAGCTGTGGGTGTTCAGGTGAGCTGCCAAGCCTGGGCAGTGAGCAGATCCCTCCCCCTGTGTGTGTGAGTGCTGGGTGTTCAGCCTCGCCCAGTTTTACTGGATTGTTTGCTCCTTCACCTTTGCTTTAGGGCCCTGTTTTTCACCACCATGTTTTATAAGTGACCTGTAAAAGGCACAGAGTGGTAAAGGGTTTTAAAAACCCCGCAGCAGTAAGCTGAGAGCGGGTGAGCAGGCAGTGAGATGGCAGTAGAGAGAGGGAGAGTAGTGAGATCCTGTAGAGAGAGGGAGCTTATGGACAGCTTGCAAATGCAGCACATGTGGAGAGGTCTTGAGGGTAATTCCAAACTCAAGCAGGAAATCGTTGGAGTCAAAAAATCTTTCCAAGAATGGTAGCAACTTGAAAACTATTTTAAGGTAGATGAGGGAATTTGAGCTGGATCCAGGTCCCTTGGGCTGGATCAGTTGCACCTGGGTCAGGGCAAGCCCAGATATGAGTACCTACTGAGAGAAGAAGTCATTGAGAGCAGCTCTGCAGAGAAGGACTTGCACATTCTTGTGGATGAAAAGCTGAACAGCCCAAAAGGCCATCCCTGTCCTGAGCTGCACCAAAAGGGGAGAGGCCAGCAGGTCAAGGGAGGGGATTCTCCCCCTCTGCCCTTGTGAGACTCCACCCAGAGTGCTGTGTCCAGCTCTGGGGTCCTCAGCATAGGAAATACATGGACCTGTTGGAGGAGCTAAGCAAGGATTCTATATTAGCAGCGCTGAGGTTGCACCGAGGATTTTCCTTCTGTAAGTACTCCTGATGTTTAGTTAACTTCAGATCGCCTATATTTTCCTTTTTTTTTTTTAAATATTTTGCGTAAACACACCTATTCCCGTATTTGTTTTGCTTCTTTCAATTTACGGTGTTTTGCTGCCATCTTCTGTCCTTTTACAACAAAGAGAAGTTGTGGATGCCCCATTCCTGAAAGTGTTCAAGGACAGGTTGGATGGGGCTTCGAGCAACCTGATCCACTGAGTGGCATCCCTGCCTATGGCAGGGCATTGGAACTAGATGATCTTTAAAGTTCTTTCCAACCCATTCTATGATTCCGTGATCTTGCTTCAGTTTGCTGATGAAATTACTGTGCGCAGCCAGTGTATTCACAACTTGTCCCTGTTCTAAAGCAATGATTTTTTTAAAGTCTTTAGGTTGAAATCATTGGCTCTTAATTCTGAATTGTCATAATTCAGTTAGAAACTATATAGGTTTGTTAGTTTAGACAGAATCAGTTTAATCTAAGTTATTCTGCTAAATGTAGTTGAGTAAATTATCTAGATAGAAATTATGTCAGACTTCAGATTAATTTAACTATGTGTAGATATCAGGCTGAGAGGTGAACCTTTTTGATAGCAGCTTAAGTGAAAAGGGTATCACAATACATGGGATTTCATATGAGAGGGAATGCGAAGAACAGTTATTAAGGTGTGAGAGAGTAAGTTTGAATACAGAAAAAAGCAATCTGACCTGGTTTTTTGGTTTTATGCACAGGTTCTGTCTTGTGACTTAGGGACAGGACACAGTTCAGGATTCTGGGTTCTGTCAAACCTTGTTTTGCTAACTTGGCATCTGGACTTGGGGATTATATTTTTTATCTGCCTCTGCACGCAAAAATGCCATGGTCTATTCTCTGTGCCCCTACATGCTACAATATATCTGTGGTTTATCTGCTGAGCTGTCTTCCCAGACGCTTCAAAGGCTTTGGATACATAGGTTCTGTCTCTAGTCTGCTTTTCTGATCTTCTCCTTGTGCTCCCTCATATAGAAACCTTGGCTTCCAGCTGCTCTAAACAGAAGATTGAAGGCCTACCATCCAAAAGGCACTGAAGGACCTGGTAAAGGCAAAACATCTGGCATTTTTTAGGTCTGCATTTTGAAGATGGCAGCAGAATGTGTGAGACACAGAGACAAATGGAGCTTCACAGTTCTTGCTTTTTGAATCTGACTTAAAAAAGGCCTCAGGGCATCTTGAAATTAAAAGCAGTAAGGGGTTAACATGCACCCTGTTAGAAGGATTAAAGGAAGGCAAGAGTTTTTAGTAAGCTGCTGCAGAGGTCTTGGTACATGAGAAAAGGTCCCTTTTGTGAGCTCCCTTCTTAGAAACCTTATGTGCACTCTTTAACCTAGTACAGCTATGTATGCATTGAATTCTCCCTCTGGCCTTTGCCTTGTGGTGACTGGATATTGAAGGAGCAAGTTGTTCCTTTGTTTATAGCTATTTTAATTTCTTGAACTTCTGTGCTATAACATATCTCATCCTGTTTCAACATACTTCAATATATCTCAACGTGTTTCATCACCTGATGTTCAGAGTTCTGTAGTAAAAGTATTGCTTGCTGCTGTTGAAGGAGATTGGAGTGCTGCCTTCATTTTGTCCTACTAAAATGCACAAAAGCAGGTGTATGCTGCTTTGTAGTGAGCAGAAAGGAACTGGAGTAAATGGAGTTTTTGATTTCAACCCAAATACATGGTACTTGAGGTTTTGATGACTTTTCAGCTTTAAAAGGGTTCTTTTTTAAGAGTAGGAGATAACTTTTAAGTCTTAGCAAAAAAACTGGTGGTGTGGTATGCACTTCTGAGGTCTCTGTTCTGCCTGCATACTTTCTGAGTGGATCAGTATGAATCACCTGCTCTAAGTATTCACTAGTGCTCTCTAAAACAACTCTGGTTGGTTTTTCAGCCATCTGAAGTTAAAAATATTGTTGTGACATTGAAAACAGCTGAGGACTTCTGTCCCCATCGCCAATTCAGACTGAAGAGTTTGGCTGCTGAATCTGCCTTTTGCTTACAGATGAGAACCCTGATGCTAAACCTTTCTTCTACAGTTGGATAGGATGGTGACAATGTCCCCAGTTGGGAAAACCCCAACTCTTCTTTATCCAAGCATGCCAGGGTCAAAAGATACAGCGTCCTGAAGTTGATGCACGAATTCCTGAGTTCTATTCCATGCAACAGAGCTTTTCTCTTTCTGAAAGTATTCCTAAAGATGCTAATTTCCTCCTAGTCATGGTCACAGTTGATGGATGTGTCTCTTTCTGTGACATTCCACTGGGTACTTGGTATATTCGGGCCCTCTGCAGCAAGCTACAGTTGTTGGTATGAAGGTGAATACTTTGCTTCATGCTCTGATTAAATTATTTTTCTCCAAAGGCAATTCATGTAGGAACACTAACCCATGTTCTAAGGTGGACAAAATTAGTTAAACTGATGATTTCATGCTAATAAATTAACATTAACACTCCTAGTACCATAAAAATAATCCTCAAAGCCTCCCATCTATGGTCTTTAAGGCACAGCTGTTTTTTGAATGGATTTAGGTAACAATATTTTATTTCATTATTTCTCTTTACTGGTTAAATCAAGGAAGACAAAGCAAGAAAAGGTCTTTTGTTTTTCATATGACTCAAATGAAAACAGAAGAGGAGAAATTTAGAGAAAAGGATGTGTTTTCTTTTTTTGTGTTTCAAATGTCCATAGTGTATTTTCTAGCTGATCAGGGAGGTGTTAAACGGATTGCCATCTGCTCACTAGTAAGTAATTTTTTTATTCTCTCCTTCTATTTGTAGGGGTAAAGATATTCTGTGATTTCTTACAGAAGTTAATTGGGATGTGGCCGGTCATGTTAACCACATGGGGACAAAACAGATACTCCAAGCAGCATGTACCTTAAGAAGAAGATTTACATTCCCAATACCTAGAGACCCTCCTCCTTCAGAGCAATATCAGGGCTTTTAAAACACATGATTTTATCATCTTATTTAAATGCAGTTCATCACACTGCCTGTTTTAAGACTTATCCAAAATCCTGTGGATCTGTTAGCTTCAAGGCAACGCCTTATAAATTTTTTGTCAAATGAGCTGTGAAACTGTTAATCCACGTGCCAGGTATTTACATCATCTACGTATTCAGAGTTATAAGGGTTGGGCAAAACATACTTCTATCATGTTAAAAATTTTTGTACCTGCACAGGCTGCAGACAGAAAAGGGTTTTTCTGGCAGCATAGGGGATGCATGTAACCTTCCATGTCTAAACCAGGACTGTTAATGGTCTGGTTTAGGCTCATCATATTTTATTTTGCAGGCTAACAATTTTAAATCCTTGTATTGGCTCTGGCTGAGCTGGAGTTCATTTCCCCACAGCAACCCTCACAGTGCTGTGCTTTGCATCGGGAGCCAGAAAGGAGTTGATAACACACCGGTGTTTTGGCTACTGCTGAGCACAGCACCAGAGCTGTAACATTCCTTCCTCCATCGAGGGCAGGATTCTGGGAGGGGACACAGCCAGGCCAGCTGACCCAAACTGACCAAAGGGATGTTCCATACCATATGATGTCATCTCAGATATCAAAGCTAAGGCAAGGAGCAGGAAGAGGGGGGTATTCATTGTCTCCAATGGCTGCCTGCTAAGGAACCATTATGTGTGCTGAAGCCCTGCTTCTCGGAATCGGCCAGACATTGCTGCTCATGGGAAGTAGAGAATGAACCTTGTTATTTTTTGCTTCACTTTTGCACGTGCAAGCCTCTGCTTTGCTTTAGCCTTAGTAAATTGCCTTATCCCAACCCAGGAGTTGTCTTCCATCTTATTCTCTCTCCTCTGTGCAGCTGGGAAGGGCACCTGGCGTCCAACCACAGTCGACCCCACAATCCTGCTTCTAAATCCACTAGCAGTGTTGATGGAGAGAGAGAAAAGTGGGAATGAAGAGGTAAAAGCTTAGGTAGTAAGTGGAAAAGGATTTCTTCAATCTCTAATGTAAATGGCATTTAACTTAATAGAGGACCAGTTACCAACTGAATTCAGGAATTTGTCCCACAGTGCACACTGTTATTGTCAAATGCCTGTCATAAACTTCATGTGCAATGAGATCTTTCCAAAACTGAGTAAGGCCAAAATGCTGCATATTATTCCCTCTGTGAAGCCTTGTGAACTGTGACTTCCCCATCCCTTCCGAGAAGAAAATTTAGGGTAGAAGATCAGCATGCCATGAAATACGCCATTCAGCAGTGTATCTCCATAGGTTTATCAGATTGATTAACTTCATTAAGTATTACATTTTTTGATTACTGTTTCTTGGTTTAAGATCTAAAATGCAGCCGTATGAGAAACAGGGCTCCTTGCTGATTAAGCTTCTAACGGAATTTTGTGAGTTAACTGAAATAACACCATGTTGTTTTGTTATGAGCATTTACTATGTATGCCTGTGTCCTTCCTGTTTATTACTGCATTAAGTTCTTAGTTCTGAGAGCTTGGTGAGATGAAAATTATGCATTGGGGTAAGGCTTTTCCTTGTTTCTGACTGGCCCCTGCACTTTGTTGGGCTGTGTAAATAAGTGGGGTTTTCAGTGCTTCAGGGTTTAAGCTGAGGTGAAGCTTAGCTAATTTCAGCAAAGCACTCATTATATATGGTTACTAGGCATACATTAGGGGGAAGATTTGAAAGAGCTTGGTGCTGTTGGGGACAATTTCCAGCTTGCACTATTTTTAGATGAGGAGTGTTGCATCACACAGAACATTGAAATGCAGCCAGTTTTCTGTAACACAATGGTCACTTCTTATCATGATGAACAGGTATGAACAGGTTAGTATGACTCATTGCATTTTATGTGTTCTGAGTTTGTACAGCTGCCGCACTCGAAGTCACATTTATGCCACATATAAGAGAAAAGAAGCAAACAAACATGGTTGGTTGCTGCTGAGACTCACTGATGGCACACAGAAACATATGCACATGTGTGTGCTCTCCACCTCCAGCATTAAGGAAGGGTTGTGTCTTGTGCAGCCCTTGTTTAGACAGATTTAAGTGAAACTAGTGTAAAAAGAGTCTTCTGGGGAAGTTGGGAAGTCCTGGGAAGACCAGAATCTTGAAATGGGATTTGTAACATCCACAAGTTTCTGGTGCCCCGTCCCTCCTGTGGGTTTTTGTGCAGGAGCTGTGTATCCTGTTGGGTGCCAGTGGAGGCCACAGTCACTGCAGTTGCTGAGCAGTCAGTAGCCTCAGCAGTTTCACTTCCTCAAGACCACCCTTTCTAGGCGAGGTGAACCTTTGGCAGGCTGTACAAGGAAAAGGTTGGGTTACTGAGACAGTTCTAGAGAAAGCCAGAGGGACAAAACCAGGGTGCAGGGGAGCTGAGGGAAATTAGAGAGACTGTAATTTAGCAAAAGGACGGGAACATTTCCAGGAAGGGTGCGAAAGGAAGAAATCAAAAGTAAAACTAATAAAGACAGAACGGTGCCGGAAGGGGTGGTCCTTTAAACTGCTGTATGAAGGGAGAGGCCACTATCAAGTATTTGTCACACAGTGCAGATCACGCATAGTGACTCTTTCAGCCTGCAACTGAACTCTTGATTCAGGTAAGACACAGAAGAGCTAATCCAGGGAAAGGTTTGCTGAGACTTGAGATGACATGGAGACAGAAATATTTTGAACCTGAAGATGAAATCATACTTGTGGTGGCTCTCTGGGTAAAGGCGTAACTTGGGCCAGTGAAACAAGTCGGACGGGTTTTCTGATCTTTTACTACCTTAAGCCTTTTGGAAGGAATTTGTGTGCCTCATTCTATCAAAAGGTATGTTATAATTTTGAGTTTGTACGGGTGGATAGGTTGAAGTCAATGAATGACTGTTTTCATTGCAAAATTTTAACAAATTCCTGCTCTCCTAACTGCCTCTCTTCATTATGCTGACTTCACAATTTTCTGGGAGCCTGGTAGCCATACTGACCACTGTTCACCTATTTCCTGCTGCATGGAAGAGACTGGTGACTAGCATGCTGGGAACCTTTCCACCTCAGAGGGTGATAATGTCAAAAGTTAATTATTGCTTAAATTCTCCTGTAAATGGGGAAGTATATCGCATAAATAATTTCAAAAGAATTTTTAGTCGTCAAGTCCCCTGTATTTACTGAGTACTGCTACTGAATTTGGTACAAAATGTTAACTCTTTTTAATTTGGGAAGTAATTTTCCTGTTGAAAATAGGCTAGAGTGAGTTGGGAGGGACTTCAGAGAAAGGAGGTAACTCATAGCACATCTGGTGACACAGCAGGACAGTGGATCTGAGACTTTTTAAATTAAAAGATGTAGTTGATTCACCCTTCCCTCACTGTCTCTTAATTAGGAACGCTGCTTAGTGTGTCCCCCTAAAAAGCAAAACCTGATTACTTTTGTGGCTTACTTACAACTTTTTCTCACAAGTTCTGCAATAATCAATTTTCTGAAACTGGAATTGTGATGGGCGGAGTAGGGATCTGCTGTTTTATTACCAGTTAATTTGTTTTAACGTACTTCTTGTAAGTCATGTGACAATATAGATATCATACTTTTCCTGGAACTTCAGAGACTGTGCCTGTCTCACTTTTTTCAGAGTTGTTACAGCACTCCTCCAGCCTGTCCTCCCATGTAAGTGATGTAAAATTAGTATTATTATTCAATTTGCATGTTGTATCAGTTGTGTCTTCAATTTAGTAAAGTGGGAGAAAAAGACAGTGGCAGTTAAACATTGTTTTAGTTGTCCTCCCTGTAATTATAGACGAGCTGAAATATAGTATATAGATGGCACATCTGTTCTAACTGAAATAATTGGACGGGTTTGAAACTTACAGCCTTTGAGAAATAAAAATGGGAATTCCCTCTACAAGAAAGATTTGGTTTTGTAAGCATACACGTTTTATCTTAAACAAAAAGCATGATTTATGTGAGAAAGAAGATAACTGCCTAACTAGCTACCAAGCAAGTACTCTTCTCCTTCCTGTGTGAATACAGAAATATAAAATCAGATCTGAAATCACTGAATCGTGAGTGGCACAGTTCAGATACTAGTGGTTTTGTGGTGATATGGGCTGAACAGCATGGATTCTAGTCTGTTTAAAAGTTCAGTTTTAGTGGATGTAAATGGATTTAATGGATTTAAAGAAAACAGTATTTGGGGGTAGGGAGTGAATCGTAAGTGCTGTGTCATAACACGTTTTGCTGGTTTGTTGTTTTTTTGAAAGACAAAGGTTTAAGATTCAGTTGTACATTCACTCTTGCTAACCAACAGAATACTGACCAAGGGCATGCCACAAAAAGCTGTTTGGCTGTAGAGTGGTCCTTGGAGGAGAGTAGAATACAATTGTCTTCTAATTATCATTACCAGTTGGTCAGCTGGGGTTACCAGCCCTGGTATGGAAACATTTGTGGTAGCAATGGGATTAAATGGATTGCAGAGTATTCCAGTAGTGTAGGAGTAGAAAGTTTTCATTTGCCCTTGTCAACTTTTCTGTCTCCCAGTGACAGTGTCTGTCAGTGGGACAAGAGACCTCTTCTGAAGGCATTTCTGTTGAGTTTCTCTTCCGAGATTCCCAAGTGTCTTCTATTTAAGGCAGAGAGAATAAAGTGGTACACAGTTCTCTTACTAGAGGGAAGTGGAGGCAGGTGCTTTAAGTATGAGCTGTAGAGAACCAGGTTTGTCTCAAGCAGAATTTCTGAGTATTGCTGCAGGAGAGGTGTGATCAGAGGAGAGGGTCCGTGGAGGTGGCACGGTGCTGTTCTGGGCCAGCTCCCTGCTCCGCCCTGAGACTCGTGCCCAGTCACCCACTGCAGCTCACTTCCTGAGGAAGGGCTGGCTGCTCACACAGGAACAAAATGCTCAAAAAGTCTAATTTAGATAAGAGGCATACACCAGGTTAACTATAACAGGGTGTGGATTGAGCCCCCGACTCTCTTTTTTCCTCTCTTTTCGCTGGCTCTCTTTCCCCAGCTCCACACCATCCACATGGCAGTGCCAATGCAGGATCTAAGGACTGGTGATATTCTTTGTTTTCTTCCTTGCTTTGCCTGGGCAAAGCAGGGCTATCACATTCTACCCCATACTCAGTTTTGAAGTTTGTTGTGGGAAGGGAGGGACTGTGGAGGTGTTTGTTCCTTCTGAACCAGTACCTTTGTGGTTTGTGAACCAGCACCTTTGAGTGATGATGTCGTAGTGAAGTGCCACCTTTTGAGGAATTTGGTGTGGGAGTTGTCGAGTGTCCTGTACAAAACTAAGGGCTTGTTAGCCTCCACTTTTGTGGAAGTGTACTGTATAAATTTAAGGGTGTGTTAGCCAATACCTCATGAGTCTAAATAGTGGGCTGGTTGCCACAGCTAAGAAGATGGTACAATAAAACAGTGAGTTCCTGACACTTGTTTGGTATCTTTGTTCAGCCTGATGAGAATTTATAACAAACATCACGCCCCTCCCACTGGCTCGTGACATCAGCAGAGGCAGGTCCTATAAGTGTCAGGGTGAGACAGTTGCAAGGCTTGCACTTTGTATTTTCTAACTTTCTCTTGTGCTCAAAGTTGAATCCATAAGCCAAGTTTAATATTTCTAAGGCTAATGGAGGAAGTGGAGGGGAGGGGAGGTGGTATTTTGTGCTCAGCGAAACAGAGGTAGTTTGATAAGAATTCTTCTGGCCTTCTTGAAAGGGTTGATGTGATCTGTATTTAATACTACAAAGTGATTGAGAGCTGGGAACTGATTATTTGATGCAGATAAACCAAAACAGGAAGAGGTGTTTTGGGTATGCTGCCCATCATCAGAAGCAGTGTAAGAAGAAAGGAGAAGCCAGATAACTTAGAGCAGTTACACTCCTGTGGACTCTTTAGCTTTCTTACTGTGTAAAACCTTTGTTATGGTGTAAAACTTGGCAGTCTCATTTATTACATAGTCTGTATTTCTGGCAAGTGGCTGTTTCTCCTAAATGTGATCAAATCTAAAAAAAACCCAAGCCCAAACAGAAAGAGCAGCAGCCTGCCAGGATTGTCCATCCTGTACATTGGTACTCCCTACTGACTATACATATCATAGGAAGCAAGAACAATCCATGACTTCTTCTGTTAATGTCACTTAGTACAGAGGTTTTAATACTCCTTGTTAAGTCCAAAGAACCAAGAGAGCTAAGCATCAAAGCTATGATAGCAAAGACAGCCTCTCTCTACTGAAGTACTTCTGATTGCATGGGCTATTCTACATCATGTGATACCTTTTGTATAAATCAATGTTATTGCACTACTGTCACTGACCAATAAAATCAACTGCTGTTTGTATTTAGATCCAAATCCTGATGTGAAATGAATACAGACTTCCACAAACTCCTTTTTGAAATGTCCGAGGCTTTGGTCACAGATGAACTGGCAGCACTGAAGTTCCTCAGCCTGGATCATGTTCCCATGAGGAAGCTGGAAGCCATTCAGGAACCCAAGGCCTTCTTCGAAGTGCTGCAGGAGAAGGACATGATCGAGGCAGGGAACCTGGCCTTTCTCCGGGAGCTGCTCTACCGCATCGGCAGGATCGATCTCCTGGTTACCCACCTGGGTTCCAGCCGGGAGCACATGGAGAGAGAGCTGCAGGTCCAAGGCAGGGCAAAGGTGTCAGCTTACAGGTAAGCACAGAAGCAGCAAACACAAAAAGTTGCACACAAAATTTACGACAGTTCAGTTGTGTACTGTCTTGGTTTTTGTCTCCACTGTTTTCCTCCACTCCGCTGAGTATCGCAGCGTAATGGTTACAGCCTGAATTCCTGCCAGAGTGAGCTTTACATTTTGCAGTTCATATGTGTAATTGTGGTGTTTACTTCTTAAAACTTTCTTGAACAGTCTCTCTGTTCTTTATTGCCAGGCAACTGCTATATGGAATTGCAGAGGACTTGACTCCAGAAGATGTCAAAAATGTGAAGTTCCTGCTCCAAAAGCAATTACCTAAGAACAAGCTCCAGGATAATGCTGTATGAAAAGTGATCTTGAGAAGTTTTTTTGCAAGGCTAGTTCAGAGTGTGGTAATTCTTGTAGGAAGGAAGGAAAGAGGAAGCAGTCTGCCCTCATGAAAATCAGTTGTTGAAAGAATTGTGATGTTAGCTGATAGTTGCTGTGCGAAGAAATGGACATTTTTTTTTTCATTGTATATTATCTCTGCCCTTTTTTGTTCTCCTGGTCTTATTTTCTCTCCACCACCTGTCTCCCTAATATTTTCTTCTTCCAAAATCCATCAAGCTCTTCCTTTAATCTTTGCTTGACATTTATGACATTTACTGTATCTAAGAAGAGTGATGTTTGCTAAAGGAAAAACAGTGTTTTGGAGACAGAAAATCAAGATCTAAAGTGAGTTCAACCACAAATTTTTGTATGTCATTGAGTAAATTTTCTTCTTTATTGTAATTTGGAGTAATGACATTTTGGTAAGTTCTCCCCAAAGGTACTAAGAGTTTTAATGAGCTAGTTTAACACTTGTAAATAATGGCCAGTGTTATAAAAATGCTTGGTATTATTAAGAAACTGTCCTAAAAATCCTATTCGTGTATCGTGGCACCTAGAGGAATATTAGCAGATTTACTTCCAACTTTGTGGACTGTTGAGCTTTAATTAAAAAAATTAGCCCTGAACACCTTTTCTGTAACAGAAAATGTAAAATGGCATCGCTAAAGGACTTCACAGCCCTTCATCAGAACACAAAGGCTAAACAGGATGCCCCTTGTTCCCCACATAGTGCATTGTACTGCTGAAACAAAGCAGGATACCCTAGCCAGAGGCAACTTCTATTCACCCTGTCCTAACCTCACTGATGTGTTTATTCACTTGCATCCTGACCCTTCTTTTAATGAGGCTCAGAGGATACAGTAATTGTTCCTTAGCTTCTCTGTGAATGAGGATCTTGTCTTCTGCTCTGTCCAGAGGTGCCTGCAGTTACTGAGTTTGGGTTATGTGTTTTTGTTCCACCAGTCGATGTTGCAGGTTTTTCTGGAAATGGAAAGAAATAGGATAATTAAAGAAGATGACCTGACAATGCTGAAAGATATATTAAAGGCCTTTAGAGCTGACATAAAGAAAAAAATTGATATCTATGAAGAAAAAAAGAAAGGTAAATCTATTTAATCAGCTGTTTAATAATAGAGCTGGGGTCTTCTGTGATTTTTTTGGCTCCGTTGTTGGCAGGTTAGAGGTCTAGAGATGAAAAGGAGACCTTACAGTATCTTAGGACAGGCAGAGTAACTCTAGAAACCTCTAGTTTCTGAAGTTTTCTGCGACTTTATTATCCCATCATACCTTGTGTCTGTTTTTGAAACATGTTCTGTGCCTTGTAAATGGTCTTCTTCTCCCTCCTCTTTGCCTTAAATGCAATTTGTCTGTTCAGGGAAAAGCACAGTGCTGGTTTTGGACCAGCATAGCTTTTCAGTCACTGAAAGAGTGACTGAAAGAGACTGGGAGTTGACGTGGAGAAACTTGTCCCAGGAGATTGTCAGCGTTACCTTCTGTTAGCCGGGCTCTTTTGTCTTGGTCAGAGAGAAAGTCCCTGAAGCCCCAGTACTTGGCTAAAGTGTCTTTCTCTAACCAGATGGGAAATCTCAAGGACTTCAAGTCCATCTGGGCTGTTGCAGCTGAGGTGGTGCTGTCTGACACCACAGCCAGGCCTTACTCTTCGGAAAATAGGATGTGTCATTCAATAGCAACTGAAAGCTGTTTTCCTCGTAACTTCCTTTTGAATGACCTAGGACATGAGTTTCCTTAGACACGTTTCTGCTGCCCCTACAGTTCCCTGCAGAACTGCCGAGTAGTTTCCCCTCCACGTCTTTGTGCTGCTGACCTCTACTGGTGTTTCTAAAAGAGCAGAAGAAAATTGCTAAGGGTGATTAGAGTCATCAAGTCCTGTGTCAGGGAACGGCTTTTTTGTTACTATTTTGTCCCCCTTCATAAGTAGAGAAAGACCATGCCGTGTAGATCTTGTTGCCCTCACAATTAAATTTCATTTAAACGCATCTTTTTAAACTTGTTAAGGGGGCACTGTGATTTAGTTTCCTTGGGTTGAAAGAAATCCATGATGATTTCTTAATTTTTTTTTTGGAAAGTTGTATTCAAGTAAGTGTTTTGTTGCTTTGAGGAGATCTTCCATCATGCTGGCATTTTGCATCACCCAAACAGTAAAGTTCTCTGGAGAAGAGACAGTAGCCTCAGAAGTAGATTGACCATTGTACAAAAATGGGTCTCTTCTTTCACATATGTATCCCATAGTGGAGATGCTAGTGAAATGGCTTGCCTAGGATGACTGCTCACATTCAGCCTTTTATTATCTGTATCTTGCTACCAGTAAAAGAGCAGAGAGGAAATGGAGCCCAGCTCTTCACAGCTTCTGTAATAACCAGGAGTCTGTGAAACTGGAACTGTGCAAAAACCACGCTCCATCTTGCTGCTTGTACTGATTTTTGAGTGTTGAAATATGCACAGTGGAAGATTTACCTTTTTTGTCCTGAAACATTCTGTTTATATTCTCCTTCTAACACAATTATTCTAAAGAAGAACTCCGCTATCCTGTGTCTGTCTCTGTGCATCCAGGGGAACAAGGAGCAGAGGGGAAGACAACAAACCTGGTGAGAAATACTTGAAGATTACATTTAAAGTATTTATCCAAACTTCTGGGAGAGGGAACATAAATTTGTAAGACTGAGCAGGTGGAACAGCTCAGAGGGAGGGGTCCTGGCTTTAAATGTAGGCCTTGGAACGATTCCTGTTTTCCAAACAAGACCAAGACCTCTTCCTTTCTGGGGACAGGGCTGTCAGCAACATTCTAAGTAATAAATGAAGCTGTTGTGTGGAGAAAACCAATCTTAATAATAATGGAGATGGGACATTAAAGTCCTGGATGGGATATTCCTGGACAGATGGGAAGGGAACAGCAGAACTTGCTACCTCACTAGAATTTCACAAGGAACACCAGAGGGAATGGTAGGGTGCAGGAATTTTTCCTCTGCACATGCAAATTTGTGTTTCTGCATACTTGCTTGCTCCCATATCAAAATCATATCCTCACCACAGAGAGAGTGGAGGAGGGATTCAGGGAAACAATGCAAATTCCTCTCCTCTGTAGCAAGATTGTATTCTTAGGCTTTTCCTTTCTTGTTTTTCAGCCCTTATGATTTTTGTCCTTGGGTAATGAAGGACCAACACTCTGTGCACAGTGTATTTCTCTTCTGAAGGCTTGACATTGCTTTCTTACCTGATTTTTTTTGTTTCTACAGGCTGTGGAAACATATAAGATGAAAAATATCCCCCATGGTTACTGTGTGATCCTTAACAACCACATTTTCAACAATCCGAAACAGAACAGAAAAGGAACAGTGAAAGATGGAGGTAAGCACTTCTTTAATGCAATTATGGATTTGCTTTTTTCTCTCATAATTCTCCAAGACAATTTTCTAATCTTTCCTGTGAAGAAGAATCCTGTCCACTGTACCCCTTGGCCTTCAGAGGAACTGAAGAGGCAGTCACTGTAGAAATTGAAGATACGCTGTTTTTTGTTGTAGGTAAAAAGCATCGTGTTAATTGGTCATATGTACCAAGCAGTGAACGAGGGATTACTGTTCCACCTTTTCACTTTTTGATTGTTTTTAATTCTTAGCTATCATAGGAAAATATTTTTAAGTCCTTAAATTCTCTTCAAAGCTCAAATAAATGCTCTGTAATTTTCCTTAAAGCCTGTCTTCCTGCAAGTCACTTCTAAGAGTTTATCTTAAAAAAGTAAAATCTGTTTCATGAGAGGACACATCAAGGATATTTTAACTCCATCTAGCCTGTCTACAGGCTGCTTCCCTCCCAGCTACTTTCTCACAGCTCACACAACAATTAAGTCACCATTTGCTGAGAAGTCTTCAGGGCATTTGTGAGCAGGTTGCTCTGCCTTCCTTCTTGCTGCATTGGTCATTTTCACAGAATGAGAGACCTATTTAATTTCAGGGTGGCAGAATTTGTCATTCTAAAGAGGTGATGCTTCTTTAACTCACCAAGTGTTGTTCTTTGTCATTTGAGGTTGTTATGCAAGGCAGATTTAAAGCTTGCTTTAACACAGTGATCTTCACTAATTTGTACCAATACATCATATAGTCTGAAACCTGTCTTTGGTTTAGATAGCATGATGCTTAACCCAGCTGTGTTTAAAAAGATAAAATGAGGCAAATTAGGCATGGGTTTTTCCAATAGGATTTGGCAGGCTAAGAGTCAGTCCAGGTGAGTTTATGGATGGTATCTGAACACTTCTGCTAATATCTGATCTGCCACACAGACACTGATGTTTCAGCATCTTTCTTGTCACTGTTTATGTTTAACGAATTCCTTCTGACTTTTTTTTCCCAGAGGCTGTGAAGAGGGTCTTTAAGTGGCTTCAGTTTGAGACAGTTGAGCACATGGATCTGGAAGCAAAAGAGATATTTGAGAAAGTTAAAGAATACAGCAAAAGAGATCATAGAAACATGGACTGTTTTGTTTGCTTCATTTTTTCCCACGGTGAAAAACGCAAGATAAAAGGCATCGATGATGAATTTGTAAATATTAAAGATTTAGTCTCCTGCTTCAGTGGATCTAATTGTCCCTCTCTTGCTGGCAAACCCAAGGTGTTTTTCATCCAGGCTTGCCAAGGCTCTGTTGGACATCCAGCTGTTGCAGTAGAAGCAGATTTTTCTGGACATCCTGAGACGGATGCTACCCCTTCGACTTCCATTCCTGATCTGGCTGACATTCTGATTGGCATGTCTACAGTGGAAGACTATTTGTCCTTCCGCTGGGCTGAGTCTGGCAGTGTTTACATTCAGTGCCTCTGTGACAAGATGAAGTTGCTTTGCCCTCAGTGAGTACTGCTTTTAATTCTTGTACATTGTTGGTATTGCAGACCCACATACTGAAACTGTGCTGAAACATCAGGGTTTTGCATTTTTGCTGTGTGATGTTTTTCACCTGCAGGACAGCAGAGAATAGTAATTATATTGGAATTGGGATTTGTTACTCTTTTATGGGTGAGCCAAAGTATGAGTGACTTCCCCTGTGACAAAACCAGGGTTGTCATGCTGGAGCATTACACAGAAACAAGTGTGTGTATGTGTACTTTTTAGCATTTTTTGACTGATAAATGATTTTTCCTTCCAGTGACACTTCATAAAAGTGAATTTGTTGAGTGATTGCACAGACAAAATAATCAGTGTTCTCTGGTTAACGATTTTCATTGTTGCCTTCCTCCCATCCTCTCATAAATTTGATTTAGAAAATAGAATCTCCCTTCAGACATCTCTTTCTCATGATGTCCAGAAGATGACAGGCAGAATGTGTAGGTTTGGCCCTGTTTCATCTTGGTGTGCTCTTCTGACTGTAACTAAAGCAGGGGACTGTGTTTGCTGGGAAATGCAACACAGAGGTTGCATTTTTATTCCCCCAAACATACTGAATTCTGTGGTAATACAACGGAGTGTGCACTTTCAGTGACAGGTAGGGTGGGTGGGGCAGGATTCCAGTCATCCCAGAGATTCCACTTCATTGGAGCAAACATGGATCATCTCTTTGGCTGAGCTGCAAGTACCATGTATTTCAATGTACCTTTTTTCAGTACGTGGATTTCAAGGTAACTTTTCTTCCTTTTTGTTAAAGGGGCATCGATCTCCTAACCATCCTGACAACAGTGAACGAGGAAGTGGGAGGAAAAGAATTTATAGTATCGAATCAGATGCCAGGAGGAAAATTGGAGAAGCAGATGCCACAGATAATAACAACACTACGGAAGCAATTGATCTTCGAAATTCCACAAGGACAGCCAAGTAAAGAGTAGAAAAATAAGAATGCAATCAGTTTAGGAATCACATCTGGAGTGGGCTTCCACGGGAAAAAGACTTCACATGAGAAATTATCTGGAGTTAGCCCCAGTCCTTTAAGGACCCATAGGACCTAAATTTTAAAATTTCCATATTTAATCAGTCTTCTGACACCTGGATCTGTGGCAGTCAGGTGAGGTTGTGGAAGAGCACAGATCACTGCAGAGCAGTGGAGTATGTTCAGTCTGGGTTTCAGGTGAGGAAGCATGTGTAGGGTTGTAACTGCCTTACCCGGAGGTGAATCATTGTCTATGTTTGGAAGTTATGATTTTTCATGGAAAAATAACATCCTCATGGATGTTATTTTTTTTATATTTTATTTCATGGAAAAATAACATGTGTAGGCCAAACCTACACATTCTGCCTGTCTTCTTCTGGACATCATGAGAAAGAGATGTCTGAAGGGAGATTCTGTTTTCTAAATCAAAAAAGGCATGATTATGATAATACAAATTTGATTATTTTTCTCCAAATATTTAGTTTGTTTTATGCTATTAATTTACTTGGCTAAGCAGCATTGTGGTGTAAGCTTTTTAATAGTAAGAATTCTGATTGAATTTTTTCTCGGTGCTCTCAGGGGACGGTGCATCATGAATGGCTGTGGAACATTGGGAGGAGATTCTTTGTACTGTTGTTTCTGTTGTAATAAATTGTTTTTTACATCACCTTAGTCTGTGATGTGTGCCTCTGTTGGATGGACTGTCTGAGGGACAGTTAACATGACAAACACTTTTACCTCAGCAGAAGTCACTTCGCTCTTGTTGGAGTGTTTCATGGCAGCCACCCCAGGAGGCAGCAGATTGATCTCTCTTCAGCAGCAGCTGGAGAGATGGTAGGAAAGAATAAGTTCAGGATTGTCAGGATAATGGCAGCTGAGGCCACTCTTACCTTGCATCCTCAGCAATGTGTAGGTATTATGTGGAAGCTGTATGGGATTCTAACAATCCCTTTTGAGTTTATAAAAAGAAAAAGGATGAATTTGAGACACTTTGTAACTTCTGCTTTTTTCGGTTTGGATTTTTTGGAAATCCATGTCTAGCCCTAAAGGAGGGGCTCTTTATTCAATCTTGCTTCTGTTCTGGAAGTGAATTTTTTTTTTTCTGATTCCACGCAATGTGTTGGCAATTACTTTTTGCTCCCATTGTGCTTTTTCATCTTCCAAGTAAAAGAGAGACTGTGTTCTTAGAATTACATCTCTGTTCACATTGGTTTCATAAATAAGAAATAGACATTACAAGTAAATGATACTGCAGCAAAAGTTACAAGAAGCTGTTACCAGTTATGATGCAATTCAGTGGCTGATACTTAGTTACAGTTTATTTGCATTTTTTATAATGTTTTCATCAGTGGGACCCTGATATGAATTTAGATTAGATTAGTGGATGTTTCTGTATGATAAGGAAATATAGCTTAAATTAAATAACTGCTCCCTCTGAGAGAAACTTGCTGAAAGGTGGTAGCTGCTCCAGAAGTAAAGTTGTGAGTCAATAGCATTTCTTTTTCTGATATTTCTCTCTGTCAGAATTCAATAGACTCAGACCAAGTTCTTTCAGCTCTTTTACATGAGGAGGAATTAGATATCACTTATTTGGTATATTTGGTGCTACACAGGATTTTCATTTAGTAGGGTGAGGTCCCCTGGCGGCTGTCAGGGTACGGGGCCCAACGCCTACAGGGTATGTGCTGCTTTTTCTGCCAGCAGCCCCAGAAGGCTGGCAAGGAGGAAGGCGAGTCGGTGGCATTATAAAAGCTTCTTGCTGTTTGTATTGAAAGGGCAATGGTTTGTGAGTGCCTGGGAACCAGCGAGAGGCAACTGCAGGGAAAGCTCGGACAGAGGGAGACCTTTGGATCCGCACTAGCAGGTCCGGTTTGCTTAAGAACAGTCGGTGTTCGGAACTCTGAGCAAGGAGCACCTACCCCGCTCCGGATGTTCAAATCCAGAGGGAAGCGCCGCCCTGGGCTCCGGCCCCTCCTCCTGCGGGCGCTGCCCCGCCCCGGGGCCCGGCCCGGCCCGGCCCGGAGGAGGCAGGAAGCGCTCCCAGCCCGGCCCCGGCGGATCGCGGGCCATGGAGCTGCCCCGGTGGCAGCTGCTGGCGGTCAGCGAGGAGCTGGACGAGGCCGAGCTGGCGGCGCTGAAGTTCCTGAGCCGGGAGCACGTCCCCAGAAGGAGGCTGGAAGCCGCCCGGAGCGCGCACGACTTGTTCGAAGCGCTGCAGGAGAGGGGCGCGCTGGAGGCGGGGAACTTGGCCTTCCTCAGGGAGCTGCTGTACCGCATCGGCAGGATCGACCTCCTGGCTGCCCACCTGGGCTCCAGCCGGGAGCAGGTGGAGCGGGAGCTGCAGGTCCCCAGAGCGGGCGGGGCGCGGGTGTCGCCCTACAGGTGAGTGTGGTGCGGGTTAGGGCCGGGCAGAGCCTTGTCCCGCTCTGAACGCCGCGCTGAGCTCCGGCAGCGCCTGAGCGGCTTCCAGGAGAAAGCAGGAACGTACGGGAAGGTGGCATTTCAGCCCAGCAGAAGGGAGGACACCGGGCTGTGCTGGGGGCGGACTGGGTGAAAAGGGCAGTGCAATAGTGTTAAGTTGTGCTCAGGGACGTGCTTTGGAACGCGATGAAACAGTTGCCTCCACTTCTCTTTCTAGATACTTGCTCTTTCAGCTCTCGGAAGACATCACCAAAGATGAGCTGATGTCTTTCAAATTACTTTTGGATGGAACATTACCAAAAAGCAAGCTAACCCCTGAGACCGTAAGAATTTCTTTAATACTTTTTTTAATGATTATTATAATCCACAGAGGAAATAGGGTTCCCCGTGGGGGAATGGGTCTCACTCTTCTTTATGGTGTCACTCTTGAAGTGAAAACACCACAAGAAAAAGGGTGGGCCTGGGTGCACATGGGACTTGTCTGTGCTGGTGTTGGGCACAGCCTTTTGCAGCAGTGTCACAGCCAGTGTGCTGCACTGAGGGTTCACATCCATGCACCACCCGAGGCTCAGGGCACTCCCTGGCCTTAATCAATGAAGGACTGATGAGCACATTCACTCATCTTGCCCAACTGATTTTTCTTTTTCTTTTTTTTTTTTTTTCTGCTTTCTAAGGCATTATCAAATACAGAAAACCACCCGCTGTATTATTTTATGATTTTGTTCTTTTTATTTCCAAGTGCAGAAAATACATATCTAAGCAGCAAATCCTTAAGAAGGCTAAGGCCAGTGAGCTTGGATTTTACAAATAGCCTTGGAGGAGATCCAGTGCTCTTATCGTGTCCCAGCCTGCAGTTCTGACTGCTGGGTACTTTGTTCTGACTGCTGGGTACTTTGTTCTGTATAATGAAAACTTTGAGGGTAGACTATGACCATGTAGTGATAGCTGTTCTAGTAAATCCTTGGGGTGACCACTGTGCTCTGCTGCTCACTGTTTGACAAGAGCTTCTGTCCCTTGAGTCCCCTTTTGCTTCACAGCAATCTCTGCACCATACTTGTGTGGTTATACTCCTTTTGCCATTGCTTAAGATGGTCACTGCAGTGATTCTTGTGTTTCACTTAAGTGCACAAGATAGCCACTGGAAGTCAAATGAATGCAAGTATTCAAAATGGTATTATATATTCCTGTATGACCACCATTAGATCTGGGTTAGATCTTGTCAGATCTTGGCAACTCTGAGCTGCAGAAGTGAAATGAGCATGTTTTGAGGTCATTTTTTTACTTAACGGTACTGGTAGGTTTTGTTGAACTAGGTTTGATTGGCTCAGCTGAGGTCTCAACTGAGCTGCCAGTCAGCTGAACTGACTCTTTGGCTCCCAGGTAATATTAGTTCATTAAAGCTTAGGTGCACATGCTCTAACTTTGCTCTCAGGGCACATCCATGCTGCACTGGGAGTAAACTGCCTTTTCTGATTACCCAGACAATGCTCGACATTTTCGCTGAGATGGAGAAGAAGGGGCTTCTGGGAAAAGACAACCTAAGTGAGCTGAAGAGTCTCTGTGAAAAAATTAACATCAGCCTGTGGGACAGAATTGAAGATCAATTAAACCTATTTGGTAAAACAAAACAGCCTCTCCCCCTTAGTTGTTCTTGAAGTAACACACAGGTATCAGACAGGACTAATAATAGATGCTTTTCAGGTCAAGAAGAGATGCTCATCACAGAGGAAGAAAGGGGCAGCACAGGAGGCCCTGAAGGGTGTCTGGCATTATCTGTGGCACGTGAATTTCCTGGCAGTTGTAATATCTCTTCCCAGGTATGAGAGTTTCTTAGAAACATCATCATTTTGTCTTTGAAGAGATCACCCCTCCATGAAGTGAACAGTTATTATGAGACCAACTGTTAAAAGTACGGTCTAGAAAGAGGAATGCACCACTCTCTATCTGTTATTCTGAAGCTGTCACAGCAGCTGCAGTGTTAACACCTTCACAATCCTCTGTCGGGGAGCAAGGCAGGCCCAGTTTATTACAGCAGGGAATAAGCAGTTGGTAGATGGCTTGGCACGGAGCTGGGGTGAAGGCAGCCCGGTGGGCTGAGCATGACAGTGGTGGTCAGGGAGCTGTCATGCACAGACTCCCAAAGGCAGGGGGACACTGCACTGCCAGGTGCTGGGAGCAAAGCTGAGTAGGGAGAGCTGCCTGGAGAGGAAAGCATCTGGCTCTGTCCCCTGCTGAACCCGGAGGAAAGTGCAGTAGTTTCACCAGTCGTCTTTCTTTTCAGCAGCTTGAGGCTTACAGAATGACCAGCCGACCCTGTGGAGTGTGCCTCATCCTGAATAATCACAGTTTTGCAAAAGCTAGGGAAGCTGTGCTGGAACACAAATACCTGAGGGACCGCAATGGGACAGACGTGGATGCAGGTACAGGGAACGTTAAAGACGAGTTTGAGAATCTTCAAAAACAGAAACCTTGTTTGTTTTTCTGTACTAAAGGTCTGAATTCCAGTCTTCCCTTTCTGGGCTCAGCAGCTCTGTTTACTGTTCTTACAAGCCCTAATCAACTCAAGCTTTTACTGGTTGACACAGAACAATTTGCCAATATTTTGCAGTTTTCCTGAGTTTACCGCAACCTTAAACAGCAACCTGAGCCTGGACTTTACAAGCGAGGCTGTCTTTGCATCAGCTTTGGGCATACTACTTTTAAAACATGCAGAAGTGGAAAGAGATCTGCTGCTGAATGAGACTTGGGCATTATTTAACATCCAGCTTTTTTTTTTAAAAAAAAAAAAAAAAAAAAAAAAAAAAAAAAAAAAAAAAAAAAAAAAAAAAAAAAAGAGGAGGAGGATGTTAGTATTCAGGTGATGCCCAAAA